TAAATGTTTTCATCTTCACTTCTGATTCACTTATAAGTGGTGTTTAAATGAATAGATTGTGTTAGTTATTTGTGTAACTCGCTCTAGATTTATCTTCAGTGTGTTGGTTTTCGAGGACCAATGCCTGCTAAATGTTCTGTACCTGAGTCTCGCTCGAATTATGATCTTTCTAGTGGATATGTGAGTGTGTTTAGAATTCCTTTGGATTCTCTTTTAAGAGATAAATGGCTGAAATAAATTCCTCAGAAAAATTGGACTCCTAGGAAAACCAGTGTAAATGTGTAAAACATTTTCGTACGTCAGTTTTTATAGTGTCTGATAAATATACACAAATTTGAAATCGAGCATATACTCCCAAGAAAGAAATCAGCCTTAAAAAAAGATGCTTATCCAACTATTTTTCCAAATTTGCTATCCTATCTATCGGTGAAAGTACCAACCTTGCGCAAAAATCCAGAGGAACGTGTATCACTTAGTAATCGTAATTATAATCAAAGGGTAAATGAATGTCTGTCCTCAGATATCATTACAGATTTGCAAGACCTGGAGTCACAGGTAGGAACAAATTGTTTTGTAAGTCCTTACCATACAGTCAGACGCTGCACCATCCATGGGTGTCAGCATAAAAGTGTTACTTGATATGACTATACAATTCTATGTTCAAAATAAAAAGGTTGGAGACAGAGACAAATGAACTGTAGACAACAATAATCTTGCGAGATGGTCACAGCTTGAAAATCTTGTAATTCATTACAATGTCTGGGATTGTGGTAAAATGCAATGCCCAAATAGCTTCATAGATTTAGTGGGAGAAGCGGGAAGTTTTTTTAAAGAGTGCTGCAGAGCAGCAGTGAACTACTAATGGGACAGCTGAGGAAGTAACTGACACACAAATAAACTTTCTTACAGAGCAGCTGCAACTGTTAACCTGGTTTAAAAAAAAAAAAAAAACAGCAGAAGGCAGTTGTAGCACACTATATTTCGATTTTAAGCTGTTCACTAAATCTCCTGCATGCTACCGGTTTATCAGAAAATCTTGTATGTTGGGCCTGTCTCATCAAAGAAAACTGCACAATTTAACTTTACAGTTGTCATTGTATACTCATACTGGCAGCATCTCACAGTACTTTAAATTGACACAAGATAAACTGACTGAGCTAGGAAAGATTGTAGTGGTCCAGATGGATGAAATATATGTTAAATCTGCAATTACCTACTCGGGGGCAAACTATTTGGCAATGCAGACAACGCAAAAGAAGCAGCAACAACAGTGCAGGCTTTCGTCATTTCTTTAGTTTTGAGAGCTACCAGGAAATAATAGAAATGTCTCCTGTGAACAGAATGACATCTCGGGATCTGCGTTTAAAATTACTCCATTGTATCCACTTTGTACAGGAATGGGGATGAACAACAGTTGCTGTAATTGCTGTTAATAGTACCCTTAATGGCAAACTTTACACTGATCTGCTGAAACCAAGCCAAACATTTATTGGGAACCCAGATTTTGCTAATAAAAAAAAATATTTCTGCTGCATGATTCTGTGCACTTGCTAAAATGCATTTGGAGGAACTGGATCAACAAGAAGAGCACAGACCAGACATTTACTTATTCTTTAATAACTGGGCAAATGCTTAACCCCTGTGATAGAGCTGCCGAAGCTAACTTGTTTTCATTTAAAGAAACTGTAATATAGTGAGCAAAAGAATATTGCAAAACTGGCACCTAAACTTTTCCACAAAGCCACCTATCCCTCCAGCATGGACAGACAGAACGTTCCTCTTGCTTTGGTAATTTTAATTAGAACAATGTTGCTGCTCTGCATCTAGTGGGCGGGTAATGAAACAGCAGATTTTGTTGAGACCATCCTTAGATGGTGGCATATTGTTATTGTAACAAGTGAATTTGTAGGTAAAACGTCGCTGAACTCCTTCTCAAATCATAATAATAATAATATTGAACAGGTACATTATCTTGAACAGTTTGCTGAATGGCTAAGAAAGTGGGACAAGCTGACTGGCTGTCAAGAAAAAACTGACTAAAGAAACTAGGGCTGTACCGAATATTCGCTTCGTATTCGCTTCGGGTCCGAATAGTGGACCTATTGACTATTCGTTATTCGGCCGAATAGTTGCGGTCGGGCCGAATACGAATATTAGTTACCTTACACACGCTTCTGCATACACGGCCTTAATGCTGACATCATGGAATGGTTGGTTTTGTTGAAAGCTAATGCAGCTTTCCTTCATTAACTAAGCCGTCAGTAATAATTTTCAAGTTTAGTTACTTGTTATAATACTTATGATTCTTTCATTCCTAATTATAAGTTATCACAGACTGACTGAAGGATGCAAAACATAAAATGTTTTTAAATGTTTATCATTCTGTACGAATGCTAACTAGACATGGAAAGAATATAAACTCCGGCCACACCCAAGTCGATAATATGAAAATCAAACGAACGGAAACATATAAGAACTTGGGTGCATACTTCAACTGCTCCAATATGCTGAGAGAAGAAATACAATCTAGAATAAAACCTAGAAATAAAGTGTACTATGCCCTTCAACATCTGCTAAAGTCAAAGTGTCTGTCTCGAAACACCAAGATCAAAAT